GTGAAAAAAACAAGACACAAGAAAAAAAGATGAACGGCATGGAAGGGAAGATGGGAAGGGAGGGAGAGAAGAGAGGTCGGAGGGAGAAAGAGGGGTGGGTAGGGAGGAGAGAGAGAGGTGGGGGGGGGGGTAGTATTAGCATGAGCAGTATCTACCTTATTCAAGCAGCGTGCTAATGCCGTGCTTACGTGGTTTGGCGAGGTGCGCTTATGCGAGCCTCAACAAATGTATGAATAATTGATTTTTATGTCGCGGGGAGATGGAGGAAGGAAGAGGAGGAGGAGGAGGAGAAGGAAAGAGGGAGAGGAAGAGGAGGAGGAAGAGGGGAAAGGATGAGGATGAGGAGAGGAAAAGGAGGGGAGGAGGGGGGCTGAAGGAAGAGGGAGAGGAGGAGAGAGAGAAGGAGGAGAGGAGGAGGAGGAGAAAATGGATGATGATGGAGAGGAGGAGAAGGAAAATGAGGAGGAGGGAGAGGGAAAGGAGGAAGAAGAGGAGGAAAATGAGGAGGAAGAGAAAGAAAATGAAGAGGAGGGAGAGAGAAAGGAGGAGGAAAATGAGGAGGAGGGAGAGGGGGAGGTGGAGGAAGAGGAAAGTGAGAAGGGAGGGGGAGGAGGCGGAAGAGAAGAAAGAAGAAGGGAGAGAGAGGAGAGAGAGGAGGAGGAGGAAGAAGAGTTTTAAAAGGAGGAGGAAAATGAGGAAGATAAGGACGGAAGTAGGAGGATGAGGATGATAGTAGGAGGAGAAAAGGTGTGAGAGAGGAGGCAAAGAAAAAGTGATGTTCACAGAAAGAGGAAGCCAAAACGGAGATGAAGGAGGAGAGAAGGAGGGGAAGATAAAGGGAGAGGAGGAGGTTGTGGTACTGGACGAGAAAGATTTTAAAAGGAGGAGGAGGAGCAATCAGAAGAAGAGGAGAAGGATGAGAAGGAGGAAGATTAGTTGGAGAAGGGGAAGGATAAAAGTAGGAAGAGCAAGGGGAGGAGGATAAGGAAGAGGAGTTGAAGGAGCAGACTGAGCAGGAAGAAGAAGAGAAGGAGGAGGAGGAGGAGGAGGAGAATAAAGAGGAGAGAAGAAGGAGGATGAGGAGGAAAATGATTGAGAAGAAAAGAGAAGAATAAGAAGAGACGATAAAGAAAGAAAGAACTGAAGCATGAGAAGATGGAGGAATAAAAGGAAAAGCAGAAAGATGAGGAAAAAGGAGGAGGGGGGGGGTAGTTGAGAAACGTTTGCAAGAGTAGGCAAAGCAGAAGCAATTACGGAAAGGGAATAACGATAATAAACACAGAAGGAAGAACTATATAAAAAAAGGTCGAACATAAAAGAGGGGGATGGGGGAGTCCAAAATATATATATAATCGGGGAATAAAGGAGAATAAACTAAGAATAAAAATACTGATAAAATAAGAAATAAAAAATCAAGACAAGTTACCAAAAGGGATTATGAAATGGAAGAGAAAAGTAAATGGAAACAGGGAAATAAAAAAAAGTGTTAATGACGAAGAGAAAGAGGCAGAAAATAAGTGACAGAAAGTACGGAAGAAAATATAAAAGAACACAAAGATAGAAAAAAAACATACTATAACTTACTACAGTAGTAGAAGTAGTAGTAGCAATTTCAACAGCAGCAGTAGTACTACCTAGAATTAGTAGCAGGATTGGTAAAGTGCTATTACCAAAAGGAAAAGTAAACCGCTGCTTATTGAAGGAATGCAGCATAGAGCATAACGTAGCATACACATTCAAGATAAGTAATGGATGCTGGCGGAGACACGGCCACAAGAGAAGAATGGGATGTCACATTTTTCCTTAAAAATATAGCCAAAAAGTAGTACCAGCTGACGGATACCAAATGCATGGTTTCAAGAATAATGATCAATGTAGAATTACAGACTTAACGTGTATTAAGAAAATAGAAATAGAAGAAAAAAGAAGGAAATAATAAAAAGAAGAAGATAAACGCGTAAGAAAGAAAGAAGAAAAAAAGATAAAGAGCAGTAGTAAGAGGCACCAAATCTTCGGTAAGTGCCCTGTCGTCCCACATCTTGGACATGCTTGTTGGCCGACACGGTGTCACAAGCGAAGAGACAGTGAGACACGAATTCAAAGGCCTCGCTTGTGTTCCGACTACCCAGTCCCCCGGCGCCTCCCGTGGCTGGCAAGGGTTTCTGTCTCTGTCGATGCTACTCGGAAGAGCTTATTTGCTTTTACTTTGTTTTGATATGCGATAAAAAGGCATTGTATTCATTCAAGGATATACTCTTATCTTATCTTCACAGAATGGCTAAACGGGTGCACGGATAGAAGGATAGACAGATAGACGAACGGGTGTTTTGCACATGCATGAACAGCACTGCAGTTTGACGAGCTGCGAAGGGTGACATCTAGTAGTAGCGTTGCTTGAGAATACGAGAGCTGTGTTTTGGAACCTTCCCTTATTGGCTACGTGACAGGGACGGGAGACGACATTTTTAATTCTTTCATATAGTCAAGGATAGTTTTTACTACACACAGCCAGTGTGGTATATTAAATTAATAGTAAGAGAAGAGTAGGATGAGATGAGAGAGGAAGTGTGGCAAGCCCGTAGAAGAAAGAGAGAGCATGAATTCAGATGATAAGACGAAGAGATTCCAACACCCATTTAGAGGGAGACTTGCTCACTGATGAGGGAAGCGATGTCGTGGATGGGTGCAAGTCCGTGTAGGTGGTGAGGCGACTTACATAAATGGAATATAATGGTAGACCAAACTGCTATTCAGTATTTTACTATCAAAGTAATTGATTATAGAGTTTTATTTAGACCTTTGATATTCTTTTAACCCTTAACTAACCTAGTTACTATATGGTTAATTATTATATTATTATATATTTTGAAGCCGAAATAATACGTATTCTGGTTATAGTGGCACAAAATGGCGCGGTAATATATATGTATATAGGTAGGCTAGTCCCGTTCAGAGTATCGTAGAGCTAGCTATGAAGCTACTGACTAACTATCATCACCTTGGATGGGTATAATTATTATATTAACGCCAATTAGGTACATTATGATTTATATTTATTTTATCACACACGCGAACACATCACAATACACACCATCCACATATTATTTGGTGGACACCCGTTGTAAATGGGTTAACAATATTAACCTCTAATGTTCTCTCACTAATTCATACAGCCATATCTACCAAAATCATGGAATAAGCTAATATTATAAAGCCTTTTAAATTCAACTGTTTTATCAGATTGATGTATAGTGCCAAATAATAATCCAGTAGTACAGTCTGCCAAATTTCCTCAAGCCACATCTATTATATAATATAATGCTTTATAGTCAATTCATGGTTTCATTTTCTTTCAAGTATTTCAAAATATAAAAACATATCTTACTTTTTTATATGATAACTACTGCCTCAAATGGATTTTCTTTACTTTTTTTTGGGGGGGGGTCTTTCCTCATTTATAATTTTCTTCCACCTTGATATCTATCTCATTTTGCAATATTACTTAAAATAATGATAATAAATATACAATCAGCACTCAGTTTACAGATCTGCATTTATTGGGTATTGGAAAAAACAGACAAAATCTGTGCTGTTAACAGAGTTGTGGCAACACTGGCCAGAAGCTGCTGTTTCATGAACTGTCCACAAGAAGGCAGTGCTATTACCTTGTTTACACCATGATTTTTCCCCTTTAATCTGTTAGTGTGTTTCAGTAATTTAGTGGTTTAGTATTCATCATTTTCTAAAACTATGTTGTCTCAAGAAAGAACAGAAAAGTAGAAAAGGATGACTCTAACTGTAGCACAAAAGCTTGAATTGCTTCTGCGTCTGCAAGTGGGTAAAAAACAAAAAAAGAGAGAAAGAAAAAATCTAATATGCAGGTTCTTTATACTTTTAGACTGGATGCTTTACTTAATAATGAGTACATGAGTGTATCTTTGCTCTCTTCTTTCATGATGTACTTTGTAGTTTCAGTAACAACCACCAATCAGCTCTATTGGATCATTACCTCACTTTTGTCCTGAAAATTATTTTCTGGCATGTGAAATCACGCTTTTGAAATACCAAATACAAAAGTTTCCCTTAGCAAAACTTGAAAAATTGTTCTTGAAATTCTATTATCTATCTTGTGTGGAAAACCTTGATGTTCATCCTAGCACAGTGGCCATTGTGTTCGGATTATATCCCAATTCCATTGGGTTTATAATTGAAGACCACCTAGATATAATAATGGGTTAGTATTTCTAACACAACTAGGACTACCAGAAAGAATATTTCTAATACAGTACTGATCTCATTTCTGAAATTATGAAGAAATTAAAACAGAATAAAAATGCAGAAAGTAAAGAAATAATAAACCTGGAACCAATATACAAGAACAAGCTGTTGTGAAATGTAAGTGTCAATGCTATCAAATTAACCCGTGGCTGATGGTTGGCATGTATGTACATGCCATGGCTGTTGTGGACCGAAACTTGGATGGCATCGTATCATGCCCATTCCCACGCCACTGGCTCGTAGGACAGAGTTTGTTTTTCTCCAATAGGAACGGCTTCATTTATATGGTAAAGATTTTAGGCAATGGCACCTATAATGAAGGTAAACCTTCAAAATTTTAATATTTTTATAAACTATAGCAATATAAAAGCTTTTAGGTGCTAAATGTCGCTTGTAAACTACCGATCGAGCTTAGCGCAAACAGGGGAAACTGCCGATGAGCACCAACAATCCTGTTCTTACGTCCACTTGCCAAACAATTTTACCCATTGGCACTGGGTTGAATCAAATCAAATAACAAGGAGATACTTGGAGAAAATTTTGAAAAGAAAGTAAGAAGAAAAAAAAGTGCATCAACAAGTAATTTTAGTTATCCTTCATTTTTATCGAATAATGTATATACTAGATCAAACATGAATACTTTATCTACCTTCCACAATTAAAAACAAAAAGAACAACCAATCACAAATTCTAAAAAGCAACCAAGAACACTAAAGATATTTTCAAAATAGAACAGCTTTCTCATCAGCAAGATCCAGGCACAGAGAACAAAACCAACTCACCGTGTTGGGATCCTGCGAGGGGTTCCTGTTCTTGGGCTGCAGTGACTTGACAGGCAGTGGGCAGGGTGACCCACCAGTTCCCACGGAACAAGTGGAGACTCCTCCAGGACCTACCAGCATCGAGGTACCAACTGAAGGTGATGGAGAGGTGCCAGCTGTGTAACTTCCACTAGTTGGCGACGCCGCCTGGCCTCCCTGAGCAGGGCTTGAGCGTTTGATAGAGGAGCCTATACTGCTCTCAGCATGGACACTGGACACAGACCCATCGCAACCTAGCTTGATACTCTGAAAGTTTTTTTGCATTTCAATTTTTTCCAATATTTTCTTTCCTTACCATGCATGAAAACAACAACTACAAAGTGAAAATCTCGAGTGTGTCTATACTCTTAATTGTGCATTCCTGTGTGCACCTGTGTGTGTAGTTATGTGTGCGCATTTCTGCAAATGTATTTTTATGTGTTCATTTGTGCATACTTGTATTTGTGCATGTATGTAACAATAAAAATAACCATAATAAAAATTATAACAATAATAATAATAACATCAACAACAACAACAACAATAATAATATTAACAACAACAGTAACAATAATAACAATTTTAACTAGAAGCACTCAGAGAGTGTATATCTCTGCTAAGGCAATAGGGTCCTTGATGCAAAAGAAATATTCATATTTGAAAAATTACATTAAAATCACCTCTTTTTCAAATATACTAGTGACATCCGTAAACATTATAATAACAGTTACCACTATTGCCAATGCAATAGGGGTAACTGGTAACAAATGCAATCATTCATTTAAAAAATTCCTGGATCTTGATCACCACAAAAATATAACGGGATCTAAGTTAGGCTAAGACACAACTCTGAGTAATCCTGCTAACCAACTAACCAACAAACCAACTGACGTTACCAAAAATAAAACCTCCTCAGCGAAGCAATAAAAATAATAGTTGTAACAAACGTAATTATAAAAATAACAATAATATTTATAATAATAATACAATAAAAACAATAATGATTATAACAATCATAAATAATAAATAATTATAATAATCCCCAAAAAAAAAAAATAATAATAATAATAATTATAGTAATAATAGTAACATTATCGTCATCATTATCATTGACAATAACAATAAACATAACGCTAACAATAATAACAATAACAACAACGATAATAAAAATAACGGTAAAAGTAACGCTAATAAGAATAATACTGATGCTCATAATAATAACAACAATAACAAGAGAAGTATTAGAAATAATAATAGTAACAATTGTTGTAGTAGCAGTAGTAGTAGTAATGGCAATGGCAATGGCAATAATAATATTCATAACAATAATAATCATAGTAATAGTAAGTCACAATACTAATAAAAATAATCATAATAATCATAATAATAATAATAATAATAATAATAATAATAATTATAGTAATAATAAGAACAACAATAATAAGATGAGTAATGGTAAGAATAACAATTCATATATCATTATAAACATGAGATAATGATAATAACCAAAAAATATAAAATTATATAAAAATAACATCATTGCTCCTAGTACTAACCATTACTACTACTACTAATAAAAAAATGTGAAAATTAAAACAATAATAATCATAAAATAATAATCATCATCATAAAATAATAACAATAACAACAATAACAATAAATAACATGAAATAATAGTAATGATAATTATGATTACCCTTGCTAATATCAGGTACTACAAAATAAAATCAAGAATTACCTAAAGAGAACAAACCAGGGGTGATGAAAAAATTTGGCATGAAATTTACTAATAAAGTGCTTTGTTTAGGGGTCCGAGCAATCTGGGGGAGGGGGGAGAAAGAGGTTCTATATAGATCTTCTTTGCTAATAAAAATAAAAAATAATAAAAAACAATAATAACAATCATCATCATCATCATCATCATCATCATAATAATAATAATAACAACAACAATAATAAAAAAAATATGGCAACAAAAATCAACAACAAAAAGATCAATAATAAAAATAATAAAAATTCAGAACACCTTCATACAAAATTAATAACCGTAACAATAAAATTACAAGTAGACTATATTAGCTAAATAGAGCTGTATCATCCACTCTGAAAAAGACGTAAAAAACAAATACTTGTTTTATATATAGCAATGATAATAACATTTTCATGGTCTAATAAACATCCATTAATAACAGCAATCGTATTAACAATTTGTAATAAGTAAAAGTAGCAATAATAATAATATTAACTCTAGTACTAATGCTATTAATGAAAATAAAAGCAATTATGACACCAAGAACTTAAATGGAAAACAATAACAATAATAGCTAAAGCAATCGTTAATTATTACAATTTCATAATAACAATAATAATATAAATAATAATAATAATAATAATAATAATAATAATAATATCATTAATAATGATAACAATAATAAAAAAATAAGAATAATGATAATGATAATAATAATAATAATAACAAACTATAATAATAATAATAATTGATTTCTGGACAGCTGCTTCCTTCATTATTTCCTGTCTGTATAGTTATTAGTATCTTAACATTATCAGAGATAAGATATCAATAATAATAAAAACAGTACTGATATCAATAGCATCAGTCAGAAAAAAACTTTTTACTGCAAAATTCAAGATATTGGGAAATTTTCAGGTATGTACCAATAGGGCCTAATTGCATACATGTTGGCTGAGAGCATGTGGAGCTATTTGTATGCCACAAAATTCACAAAAAAACTACAGTGGACAGCACATTACCTCTAGGAGACTGAGTTAACATTATCATAATAATAATAATAAAAATAACAACAACAATAATAAATAATAATAACAATAATAATAATAGTAATAATAATAATAATAATAATATAATAATAATAATAATAATAATAACAATAACAATAAAATAATAACAGTAATAATAATAATAATAATAATAATAATAATAATAATAGTAATAATGATATTGATGATGATAAAAATAATAATAAGAAACAATAACAATAATAATAGCACCAATAGTAATAATAACAATAATAACAATAATAGCTACAACAGCAATAATAATGAGAAAAAACAATAACTATAATATTTTTAATAATAATAACAACAATAACACATCATTATTATTATTGACATAAAAATAATATTAACAATAACAAAAACAATATAATCATTATCAGACAACCATTACAACAACAACAACAAATATATAATAATAATAATAATAATAATATTAATAATAATAATAATAATAATAATAATAATAATAATAATAATAATAATAATGCCACCACTAAAACTACTACTACAATTACAACTACTAATAATAATTATAGTAGTAACAGTAGCAGTAGTGGCAGTAATAGTAATAGTAATAATAATAATGATAATGATAATAATAATAATAATGGTTCAATCAAATGAATGAAAATACCAATAACAATAATAATAATAATGATGATGATAATTATCATAACAATTATAACTATAGTAATAATATAATAATAATAATATAATAAATAATAATAATAATAATAATAATAATAATAACAATAACACCACAGTAAGATATAAAGCTATAATCACCAAAGAATTATTCCAATATACAGTAAATAATAACAATCATAATTCTTTCTCATAACATCATCTTTTTTCCCAAAAGAAATGTAATGGCCTCATAGTGACATATCTAACATAATGATTTAAACAATAATTTGGTAAATCAGCATAAAATCTGTGTATCATGAAATATTGCAATAATGTACTAAAGGATTATATAACAATGATATCAAAATTTAAATCAGGATCATATCGACACATAAAATTCATAAATTACCTGGAATTGAATCAAATGAAACTAAGAACACTGTAAAATATGTTTTACCACCTGAATACTGTAACAGTTTATGCAACATGAAGATTATAGTCATGTTAAGAAGTAAAATGCAGAAAATCAGGGAAGTGCAAACCATAAATGCATGACACAGGTAAAGGCTTTAAGACTAAAAGATTCTTACATCTACAGAGAGAAAAAGATATTAAGCAGAAGGTGATCCAAGCTACACACTCTTAAGGAATGACCTTTGTTATGTAAATCAGACAATGACTTGAGCTATCATTCATTAAATGTGCTAGAATGTTGATTGAAGTTTTCTACTCTACAGCCTGCTTTTGACACATGAATCACCAATACATGAATTTATGAAGAGTATTACTCCTTACAAAAACTCCAAACATTAATTTGCAAACAGAAACACAACCTCTACGTGCAACACAACATAAACAACAATGTCATCCATAATTCTACCACAATCAGAACCTGTTTACCTGCACCTCATGCCCGAGTGTCCTGTCTATGGAATACCACTTCCACAATTTCAGTACCTACTCATCAACCTGATACTACTACTTTCCTCGACTTTTGTCAATATATTATGTCAATCAATCTATATTCTTTTACTTCAATCTCCCTGGAAAAAAAGTTAATGGGTATCTCTAAAAGTGACAGTATAAAGAAATATAAAACATAAAATGTTCCTAAGCACAACCAAATCGCTAAACACAGTGAAGATGTATATCATCTTCTTGACAAACAAGTAGAAGAAGAAGAAAGAGAAAAAGTAGTACTAGAAGAAGTAGGAGAAGAAAAAGAAAAAGAAGTAGAAGAAGAAGAAGAAAAAGAAAAAGTAGTTGTAGAAGTAGAAGATAGAGAAAAAGAAGTAGAAGAAGAAGAAAAAGAAAAGAAGTAGTAGTAGTAGTAAAAGGAGAAGGTTTACATCTGCTTTACAAACTCAGGTAAAGGTAAAGGGTTAAAAGGTAATAGCTGGGAAACATATGTATCCGTAGAAAAAGCCATGCAACAATCTTGAAATATCAAAGCAAGGACAAGAAGCTTGCTACTGAACTTTTACCAATCATGAGATGGCCAAAGAAAGTTATGATTAAATAGTTAACAACAAAGAGAAACAATGAAGACATACTTAAATAACATTACAAAGTAGTTTATCAGTCTCAACATCTATGTAAAATCCATTTAAATCCACCTACCAGAACAGGAACTAGAAAATCATGCTTTCTTTTAATCATCCAAAATTTAGGGTGTAAACAACAAATAAATAATTAAACCAATAATAATAATAACAATAATAATAAACTAATCATTACAATGCTAATAAAGGCAAAGGCAAATACAAATTCTTTCCCAATCGAATAAAGAAAGAAAGAAAGAAAGAAAGAAGGAAAGAAAGATATATATATAATGAATTTAAATAATAAGTTTACTCCTCAGTACAACTATTCAAATTATAGAAATGATAGAAATGAATATAAATGTAAACACATTATCAATCATAAAAAAGCAATAAAAAAAAAAAAAAAAAAAAAAAAAAAAAAAATCAATATATAACTAACCACTAGTTAACACAAATCAAACGTGTGTGTGTGCATGTGCGTGTGCGAGTACATACATATCAACAGGTGTGGGTAGGGTAAGTGTAGGTGTGGGTAGGTGGTAGTATGTATTTTTTTGGTGGGTGTGAGTACATGGGTATCAATAAGTGTGGGTGGATATGTGAGTATTAGATGTGAATGTGTGGGTATCAGCGTGTGTGAGTGTTTGGTTAAGTCAGTTAATAATAAAAACTTGATGAAAATGATATAAATAATGAGAATACTAAAATATCAATCCTTTTTTAAAAGCTCATCTATAAAAGAAAATAAAAAGTAAATCAAACTATGTAATTTACTTTGCATATATTCATAAAAGGTAAACATGTTAATATAATCTAATTACTGCTATTTAGAGGGTGGATGTCATTTCTCATCTGAAGATAAGCAGTAAAGCCTCAGTCACACTAGCCCTTTTTCCATTAATTTTTGTGCTCCACATTAATTGCATGCGTGTGGAAGGCCTCCTAGACAAAGACAAGAGCAACTGTTTTTCTTTTGTAATTTCCATCTTGCTCTTGTACTACAGTGGAGCTATGCTATTAGATTGTTTTTACAAACATAAAAAAATACAAGTTCATGTGAAACTATTTCAGTTTAACAAAATGCATCTTTTTATAATAGAGCAGTATCCTTTGCATTATGATATTCATAAAAATAATATAATGTTTATGAGGAAGCTTGAGTGATTCCTAAGGCCCAATGACACAAAAACTGACTGAAAAAGTGCTAGTACAATAAGGCCCTATGAACAGTGAATGCCTTTTAGTATTAATAGTTTAAAAGTTCCTGACTATGGAACAAGACATTGACTCCCATACCAATACAAATTTTGCATAGGGCCTCTTATGGAACCAATGGCAGTCTACAATAAAATCCAAGAAAAAATACTTTGTCATTGTCTTACAATGAATATTGTAGAAAGATATAAAAAAAATCCATGTTTTTTTTTTACTGATTTTTCATGGCAATGGTGATTTTTGACTTTAAATGCATATTAAATTATTTCAAATATATATGTATAATTGAAGTTGAATGTATAGACTGTGCATTTGAGAAATTTAGGTGTAGATTAAACTTTCTAA